GAATGGGGACAATGGTAGTTGCAAGAAAAACTAATCAGTAAAATGGCTGTACTTTTTCAGTAAACTGTTTACAAATGATACCTCAGCAATTTGATTACTGTTACAGACCCATAACAATTTCTATTGCCTAAAGAGAGTAATTAAAGTTGGGCAAGTTTGTTTGGTTTTGGTTTTTTGTTCCTGTTCTTTAAGTGGTAAAAGCAGATATTTTGAGTGGCTACACTGCTTATTGTTTAAGAAGTTTGCAACTGGAAGATAATCTCTAATGGCAGTTTTGCCATCAATTTCTAAGGTTTCCCCCTATGGTCTTTATTGACCTGTCATTACTCTGTTACACAGAACAATGATACAGACAGGGCTTAATCCTATTTCAAAGGACAGTGGGCCCAAAATAAAGGGCTAAGTCTATACTACTAAATGAACTTGACCAGAGACTGTACCGCTTGACCTCTGGGCATGGTTTGCATCAGGCTTGCATAATGAATAAACATGCCTCCTCCTAAACAGAAGGGGCCATAGCTATAGCCTAACTGCCAGGGAAGGGTCCCTGACATCCAAGGTCCTTGAGCCATGCCCCAGCAGCGTCTGAGAGACTGCTAGCTGGCAGCAGTCAAATCTGACTTTGCTAAGAACCGAACGGCACGGGCACACGCTCAAGCCTGTGTTGTTTCATTTACTGGTATAAATAAAAGCAAGGAGACAGTCTTGCAAGTTTATTTGCAAATGCTTTGCCTTCATGTTCAGTCTAAGTTGTTCTCAGAATTATCTAAATTTTTCCACATTGCTCTTCTGGTTGTTTCTAAAGCTTCCAGGATTTTTGTTCTGTTTAACAGAATATGCTTGCTCCAAGCGGCTGTGGGAGAGGGGGGAGTTTTTTGTTTGGAAAGTCTAACAAAGAATAGATGCTGATTAATTATACTGTCAGTCTTAGTAATTAGGAAGAGTAGACATGGATGTAGATTTAACTGTTGAATATGAACTTGAAATTTGATATGTATTTCCTTTTTAGTGGCCGGTTTGGCTTATGGTTAGATGCAGATTTGTATCATGGGCGAAGCAACTCCTGCAGCACCTTCAATAATGACATCTTATCTAAGAAAGAAGATTTCATAATACAAGACGTAGAAGTATGGACATTTGAATGAAATACTGACTGCCTTAAGGACTGGATCCATTAGGCACTTAAAAGCTAAAGAGAAGGTGCAGGCTGCCTCACAATGTTACACGCTTCTTTCTCAAATTGTACCAGAGCATGACTACGCAAAAAAAAAAAAAAAAAACCCAAAACAACAAAAAAATCTGGTTTTGAGAGGCAGTAAGAGACAGAACAATAAGATGTGATGCTTATGAAAACATTCATGGTGTATGAGTTGAGAACTTTTCCTGTAACTGTGAAAAAGATACTGTGGGAAAACTATAACTGTCTAGTACATTCCATGTGTATTTATGTTCAACATATAAATGCTAACCAAAAATAAAAGGTTATGTTACCAAAATCTACAGCATACTGTTTGCCATGGAAAAAAAGTCTGAAGTAGGTGTACACAGCACTTAAGGGAACATGTTTTTAAGATCTTTTTATTTATTGTTATTGTATAGCAGATTTTTTTAAAATATCTTAGCTATGAGTTTTTTCTTTTAATGTTTCAAATCTCAATTTGATAAACAATTGCTATTCAGGTAGGTTTCTTATGCATTGGCATTTATTCTGAATCAATTTATTTGATTTCTGAAGTTAATTTTTATATTTTTATTTTGTAAATGAGATTTGGTTTTCACTTTACCCTAGTTAGAGGGTTTGTTTTCTGGCAGAAACGCTTGAGTGCATAATTCTGGTTTTCTCTGAGATGAGGGAAAGGTAGTTAGTGCTTCGTATTGAGTCTGCTGCCGCGCTCCTGTTAATAGATTATTTTGGCAGTATATGGAGACACTGGGCAAACTACCAGCTGGTATAGACTGTATCAGCTCTGTTGCAGTCAAGAATCGGGACAGCATGCTCTGAGCATCTGTCCTGGTATTATTTGACTGTTTACTAAAGAGATTTCTAAGAGAAGATTGCTTCTCTGTATCACCATCTGATTCAAAATAAACTGCCCACTGTGCTTTTATGAGCACTTTTTTACAAATTGAAGAATAACTGTTTTGTTAAGGAGAAAATATAATCTTGAGATACGGAGCAGAATGTTATTTCCCTAACAGGCCAGGTCATGTTAGTGTAATACCTGTTTTTGTAGTAATTAATATACGATTTCCTTCCTGAAAAAGACTTGAAGCAACAGGCTGGTTTAGGATTTGACAGGTAACTAAATATTTTTCTTTGTTTTTCATAAAATACTTGTCACTTTTCCCCTTCCCCCCTCAACACTAAAAAGATTCCAGGTTATAAAGCTAGGCTGAACTCTAAACAAGTCAGTGTTAAGAAATTTTCAGTAAATAGGGAAAATGTAAGAGAGCACTGGGAATCTTTACTGTTTTCTAAAGAATTCTGCTTTGCAATTAAGCTATACTTTAAACAGAAGTTTAAACAATCCAAACCCTGCCAAGATGGACTTTCTGGCAACACCAGGATGCTGTTCTATCCTTAAAACCAAAAGTATCTTTGTCTTGGAAAAGGTAGGTTTTAGAAATGGTAATGGGCTTCCATGCATTGAACAGTACAGACTAATTTTGGAATATTAATAATTGAGAAATACTGTTCGATTTAGTTACTGCTCCTCCCTTTCTTAATATATTCAGAAAAGTAAACATGACAAGCGGTTTTCTTTCAAAAACATTAACAAATCTTAATCCTGCACAGAAATTTCACAGTCTAAAAACCAATGCTAAGTCTGTATCACGCTGCACATAAGCTTTTCACACTTGTTCTTCCAGGTGGTCTAATACAGCCATGAATACAGTTCTTATTGGTAATGCTGTAAAATATTTTGGAAGTTGCTAATAGCATAATGCTTTGACGATACCAGGAATATCTACTACTGTTTGCTCTTTTTACTGGTGGCAGACCACTTACTAGTTCAAAAAAAAAACAAACAAAAAAAAACCCCACACATGCAACAAGTTCAACATTTTGCATACGTTTCACTATTGTTACCTACAACTTACTCCATTATATTATACTTGTCAGAGGATATCTAGACGCTGTGTTCTATATTCAAAACAGTGTTGTTCAATCAAAATTCTGTGACCCTTGAAACTATGAATATTGAACATATGTAATGCAGTGCTATCACATTATTTTCAATAAAGGAATTTATGCATTCAGAAACTCGTTATAGATGTTTTCTCCTTTATCTAGACTTTAGTACATTTTAAGGATGAAAGGATACGGCTTAAATTACAGATTATGCAGAAAGAAATACCTAAGCTTCCTCAAAAAGAGAATTCCAGCAATATCCTATTCCGGAAAAATGGCTAAGCAGCTTTGTTTGTTTAATAGTATGGCATCTCCTAAATGGTGCTGTATTTGTGTTCACTTAAAGACAAACTGTGCTAAAGGGCTAAGAAATACCAGTTATCTTATTCTAGCTGAACAGTTGATTAGTAGTTCTCATCAAATTGTTATTGTTTGTGTCTATCACCTGTAGAGAATTACATATATTTCTTCGCCTTTTTTGACCAACCTGTTCCTAAAAGTCGGAAGTCTCTGTACATGTTTTCTGTGTGCATCCTTTTTATAGTGCTAAGCTGTTGGGGCATTTTTCTTTTTGTTGAAGCAAGACAAAAGCATACAACTTCAAAAAAAAAAAAAAAAAAGGGGGGGGGGAGGCCTCAGTTTTATTCACTTATTATGTACTGAGGTGGAATTAAGAAAAACCAAACTCTCATTACATAGTAAAGAAATGCTAAAAATTTCAGAACAAGTATGCTATCTATGAATGTTACTTGGAATATAATAGTGGTAAGAATTTTTATACAAATGTAAGCTAAGAGGAAAACTACGGTCACTATTATATTTCCTCTCAGAGGGGGAACTACTTTAGAAGAGTATAAAACACATGTACTTTAGTGGTACTCAGATGAAGATTTCTGATTCTGGCTTATTAACAATAAGGCTGGTAAATACTCAGTAAAGCACCAATGTTTTGTTTTAATGATTTAATGCTGGTTTCGGTGCCATTTTTGCACTGGACATGTATGATGCCACCTTTAGAGCAAAGTAGAAGCCAGTTACTGTCAGAGTAATCTTCATATGTAAACTTTAAGATTTCACTTGCCTGTTCATAGCTGAGAAAAGCAGCAGGTTAGCTCATTTCAAAAGGACTGCATTACATTCCACAAGTCCGTAATTGCTGGCAAAGGAGCTTTTTCAGGTAGAACAGTTAACCACATCTTACTTGTACAGAAGACAACTTGTTTGCTCTGAAATATGAATGTATTTTCCAAAAACCTAAGGAGGCTTCTCTCGCTGTCAACTTTGTAACTGGCATCTCTTTAAACACTATGACAACTATTTTATGCCATCTGAGTTGCAGGAAGAACATCAACTAGAACAAAACCACTAAAATGCTGTTACCAGTGATTCTGAAGCTGTGCAGCTAGTTTAATGAAAAGTGCAAGCAATTTAAAAGACAAACTCTTCAGGCAACAGTTTTGGATTACAGAAGGCAGCTACCACTAAGGAATGCCCTCTTCTAACTTTGGAAATAGTTTATTTGAATCGGCTCAGAAAGCAGTCACTCAAAGTATTCACAGTCGGTATTCTGAAAAATTATGAACAGAGTTCATGTATTTTTACTGATGCTTCACTGCTAGAGGTTTGCTTCAAACCTTCAGAAAAAGGAATTAAGGTAATTCAGAAGAAGTGAAATACTTGTGTCAGAAGCAAATTTGCTCTAAGAATACATGCACCTCATCTCCAGCTTGGGCTGTATAAAACTTAAAAAAGTAATTGCTTTCATAATTCATTTGAAACAGTAAGTAACTGGAATTTGCCACCATGCTCTGACCTGCCATGCGCTTCTGCGTGGATATATAGCTCGTAGAAGGGAAGAGCCCATACGGGACGGGGCGGGGGGGAAGCCAACAGTCTTATTGTAAAACACGGTGTTTTGCTTTGTGGTTGCTCACCTTAAAAGGAAACCCTAGTTAACTGCAGAACCGCTCGCAGCTTATGCTGCTGGAGTTAAAGCTGAAGCACAGAGGTCAGGTCACAGGGCTCTAGCTTACAGAACACGCAGCGGCTTCATCCTCCGTGTGACGGCAGCTGCCCGACGCCCCGGCCCGCGGGGAGGGCAACAAGGCGGCG